GGCCGTTGATATTCACCACCGGCTAGTGGTGATTGTAACGACGCGCGTGCATCCATCCGTGCCGCGGTGGCATGCTTGAATCCGTCCGAGGTCCCATTGGCTCGGCGGAGTCAATGGATTGCGTATTAGCACGATCTGACCCACACGGGCCAGCCGTTGAGCGATGCGCCACTTAGGGCGTTGTTGTAAGGTCTGCAAGTAATCGTTTTGCCAAGACTTCCAAAAACCTTCCGTAATGCGCTGAACCACTTGCCATCGGGAGAGTCGATTTTCATTTAATTCAAGCACGCTGGGCTCGGGTATCGCAACTAGAGGGGTACCGATTAAGAAGTGTCCTGGTGTGAGCGCGGTATAGTCATCGAGACTTTCCGAAACGGCAGCGATTGGTCGAGAATTCAGGCATGCTTCTATACGCGAGAGCACCGTTGTCATCTCTTCGAAAGTGAGTGTGTGCTTGCCGATGCATCTCTTTAAGTGGTGTTTGACGCTTTTGACGCCAGCCTCCCAAAGCCCGCCGAAGTGTGGTGCAGCGGGAGGTAAAAAATGCCACGATGTTTTGTCTACAATTAGTTGATTTAAAAAATTCGGGTTACAAGACGCTCTTTTGTAGGCTTCGGATAATTCTCGATCAGCTCCGTGAAACGTTGTGCCATTGTCGGAATGTACATTTTGTGGTAGGCCGCGCCGCGAAATAAAGCGGTGATACGCCGCAACGAAGGTTGGCGACGTATAATCGCTCACTAATTCTAGATGAATCGCTTTCGTCGTCATACATACGAAGACTGCGATATATGCCTTTTGCGATCTGTGGCCGCGGCCGGGCGCAGTTCGAACGACGATCGGGCCGGCGTAGTCGACGCCCGTGTGAAGGAAGGCGCGACTGGCGCGATTGACTCGCGGTTCCGGAAGGTCCCCCATGAGTTCAGTCGCGATTTTCGCGGTCTCACGCGCGCATGGGACGCATTTATGGAGAACCGCTCGAATTGTGGTGCGGGCGCGCAGGATCCAAAATTCGGTCCTTAGGGATGCGAGCGTGAGTCGTGATGCTCCATGCATCACACGAAGGTGGTGGTGTCGGATAAT